ATTTAAAAAAAAAAAAAAAAAAAAGGAAAAAGTTGAACACATAGTGCTCAACACAAAATTTTCCTGAGCAGCTGAATAAACCATTTTCTATAGCTCACACAGAGTTACAGTCAGTTTCAGAAATTACTTTGCAAGCTTTGGGGATGGTGCTGGGACAGAATTATTTCTGGTGATGGTCGTGGTATTATCCTTTGGATGCAACTGAGGACTCTGTGACCTTGAGGATGAGCCAGAAGAAGGGCTGTCTATAGATTTTGCTTAAAGGAACAACAAAAAAAAGAAATAAAATACACATTTGGGAAAAAGCACAAGTTTTCAACTCATGTAAGTTCAGTGGGACTATTTTCATGTTAGAACACAAACTGTAAGCAACCAAATAACCAAAAGAAAGCTTAAGTCTACACAGCCAAGAACTGTGAGCCACCCAGGATTCCAGGAATAATTCTTTAAAACATAACAAGTGATGATTGTTTTTCAAACTGGGTGCAAAAATAATCTCAACTGAATAATCGCTCATGCTACATAAAGGCATCCTAATTAGGCAACCATTCCATGAGGATTAGAATTTATGCTATTCTAGCTCAAATTTTATCAATACTTTAAAATCTTATGATACATTTAATCTACAAATACCAAAAACTTTTCATGTTATTCACTAACTAAAATTGCTGAAAGTAGGCAGTAGTATATTTATTTTAAGAGTTGGGAAAACTGACACACAAACCAGTCAAGTTACACGTTTAGACTACAAATTAAATGTTAAAGTCTAAGTAAACACGTGTGTTTTACCTGACTTTCAGTCATTTCCTCCAATATACCCTCCCCCCAAATGAGAAGATCAAGTGCAAGCTTCTACACTAATGAAGTAAGACTATTGTCCTACAGGACTGTCATGCTAGGAAGAAATCACTCACCAGCTAATAGTTGCGTTGGAGAACTTCTTGCAGAGCTGGTGTCACTGTGAGAACCATACTTGTCCATCAGGTCAAGAAATTCTTTCCTGTGGCAATAAAAAGATCCTCTCCATCAGGATTTGGCATCAGTTTAAATGCACCCTTTGAAACCTGCGACTATTTCTACTGAATGGTTGGTCACCCTTCCTCAGAGAAGGAAGGTCAACCTCAACACAAAGAGGAAAGCCTTGTCGAATGTTCGGAAGAGGCAAGAAAAAGATAATGTAATATAGAAGGAAAAAGATGGAATAGCAATAGACTATGAATGAAATGGACTATTGGTAGAAAAGCTTAATTATTACCTCTCTTTACCCTGGACTTCAAACTTTTAAAAACTTGTAATTCAAGTCAACTACAGATAATAAGACAGTGGGATTACTTAGGTGCAGAACAAGTTATTTATATTAGAAGGAATCAGAAAATGTACCTATAGCATATTCATATTTTTAAAGAATGCTTTTAGTTCAACTATACTGAACAAGAACCCAGAAGAGACTGGCAAACAAAGCTGTGGCAACTCAAAAAAGAGGATAGAAGAAATATTCATTAATTATTCAAGAACTAGTAAAACAAATGCAAATTCTTAACTTCCATTTAGTGCTCTCAGAAATTTGCAGTCTATTTCATCTGAGGTAAATACCATTATATATTAAATACTGTACGTGCTTGGGCTTTGCTTATCATTTTCATTACAATATCTTTCTTAAAAAAACCCACAGATGAAATAAAGGGCAATTCTTGGTCAGGCACACTGTTAAAAAAAAATAATAATAAAAAATAAAAGCAAGAGTTCTTTGCAGAAACCAATCATATTGTAACAAACTGGCCAAAAAGCGGCAAAGATGTACGTCCTGTATTACATGCATTACAGAGAAAACAAAAACTCTTGATTAATCTAATACTGAATGCAGCCTAATTTAAAAACATGTTTATAATCTGAGCTATGATTACCTCAGTGATAACAGATTAAAAATACATAAATAATCTAGAATGATGTAAGACAGAAACATCAGCAAATTAATATTATAGAATTAGAGAGAGAGAATATAAATTAACTGATTGCAGGGAACATAACTCCCAAGCAATTCCAGTGACTGCAAAGGGTTGTTGAAATCTGCTGGATGTATTATTTTTCAAAAAGTGACAAAATTTGTTGAACTAATGCCAGACCCAGGGAACACATGCATACACAGTTGAGTGTAAATTAAATAACCTTTTAGCATGAGAATGTACAGTCACAGGAAATTAATTCACAGGTGTCTGAGTAAGGCGCTGTATGCAGTGGCAAATTCTGCACAGGCCACTGGGCATACAACCAGAATGGATTTTAATTATGCAAGGAGTTTAGAGGAACTAGGTCAGTATGCTTTAGATAAAAGCAGATTAAGAGTGGACCTCACATATATCTAGGCAGTCTGAAAAAAGGAGAAGTCAGAGGCTACAGAGTGATTTAAATGTCTGTCAAATACAAAAATAAAGGAGCAGAAAAAGGAAGCTTAAGTCGGACAAAAGGGTAAAGGAATTTAGATAAAATTCCTTTATGGAGAGATTACTCTCTAAGCGGAACACCCCAGGAAAGGCAAATAACAGCAGATACTCTCGCAATGATTATCAAATATAGTTATATAACAGCCGTTTCCTCCAGAGATTTAGGTCAAAAGGGCATACAGACCTGGATCCTAGCATTTCCAACGATTCTCTGCCAATATTGGTTTATATGCTTAACTGTAGACAGCAAGGTTAAAGCAATGTTTAACACAAATGTCCTTATAACGGATGTATTTTGGACTACCTCCTGCAGTGAACAGCTTAACCTACTTATCTAAATGAATTCAAAGCTCATTAAAGATTGAAAAGCAAACTTCAGAGGGGAAAGAATAACCAAAACTGCCTTTTTTCAGAAAGCAAGACCAGCTTAAATCATACCGTTCTGCGGTACTGTAGATCTAACGTATTCCTCATTTTTTATTATTTTAAAATCTGAGAAGTATTAAGAAAATTACCACAGCAAATACTTTTTAATGGTATTGGCTGGGAACATAACATTCCAATCCTCTTCATTAAACTGAAATTAGCCTGAGCTTGCTACTTTAATTGATGCAAATAGTCTCAGAATGAATTGGCATCAAATACTACACAGAAAAATGTGACATGTGGTGCAATTTTGTGATTAAAACTAATCTGAAAGAAAAATACGTGCAAGCCTGCCCACCCAACCTTAGATATAGTGTTGGCTTTTTATTAGTTTTGGGGTTAAAACAACGTTTTATTTTTCTCTTACTTTGCTTCTTCATCTCTGGCAACTAGCAGAGACATGTGATTAGATGCCGATGCTGTTCGCAAGATGTCAACAGCCCTAGAAGGGGGGAAAAACAGCCAAATAAACATACCGGGGTGCTATCAAGAAGTACACGGCGAGTAATGCTAAAAGAGCAGGAAAATGAACAAATTCTTAATGTAGTTAATCATTTTGACTGCCAGATACAGAGAAAAAAGCTTGCCAGGAGCACAACCCAAATTAAGCATTGGAGAACTGAGCAGAAGACAGACTGTGGTGAGTCTGTGCCAGGCGACAGGAATAAAGTGAGATTGCGCTATCTTTCCCTTCCCTTTTGTCCCTCTTTCTCCTTTGTCCATCTGACTGCCTTCCTGAACCTCCTTCAGGATTAACAGCCCGCACCAGAGAAAAGCTACTGCTCAGGTATGTGTCATTGCGCAGGATTTCCCTCAGCAATATGCACTGCAATTTTTCTTTTAATTTTAAATCTACATCTCCAACACTAAGCTGCATTGATCTCTGGTGATCCAGCTACAGAAACCATCCAACATACTCTCCAGATTTTTCTAACCAATTTCTCCTTCGTTGATATTTGTTAGCTGCATCATTTACATTCACCAGTATTGAACCAACAGATAGATAAAAAAATATTTTAATAGCTTAATATGTTGTAATGCTAATTTCAGATACATTCTATAATCTACATCATTAAGAAACTAGCTTATTCTGCCATTATAAAAGCATATAAAGTCCTGTAACTTTTCCATGACAGCTTCACTGAATTAGATTTATAGGGGAAATTAATTGCCGATTGAACTCCAAGGACCTCAGTGGAGTTGTGCTCTTTTAATTGGTGGTTAATAACATCCAAAAAAACCCCATGTAATATTCCAAGCTCTAATAAACATTTAGTAATCAGTACAAACATACCTTTCATTGGTTACTCCAATTAAGTTTTCTCCATTGACATCCAAAATTAGGTCACCAGTGAGCAAACGGCCTGGTAACGAAATCAACAGTAACGCATGAATCAACAGGAAAATGGCGAACATATTGTATGATGGTAATAAAACAGGGCTTTTTCTTTCAATTTTGTATAATCTAATGCAATAAACGACCTTATGACTTGTAGCAGATTAGGTTCCAATTCTAATTAAGCTATGCTATTGTCATAAGACTAATAACTATCAATCAGTCTTATTAATCACAGAATAGCCACTGAAAATAAGTGTTATTTAGCTATTTGTATTATTTACACATAGCACAAATATTTGTGGGATTGGAATTTACATTTCACAGTTGTGGAATTAACTTGCAGCTGAATTTTGCTCTTAATATACATGTAAGTTACCAAGTATAAAAACATTAATGTTTTATACATTAATAAAGACATCTAAAAGATTTTTCAGAACCAATTCTATTTTTAGCCTTCTGCAAATATCAAGTTAGGAACTCTCACTTTTGAAGTAGATTTAAATGATCATTATGCACAAGACTAGAAGGAATCTCAAAAAACTCCATATACAGACCTAGGACAGAAGTACATTCTATAACTTTATTATTGCAAACTCTACCCAGTATAATTTGTTTTTTCCACACTGAACATCTAAACCACCACTTAAAAAATCTAAAATTTTTTTAAATAAAATTAAATTATCAGAACTCATTAAAAATACTGGTTCTGTAAAGGAAACACCACTCATACCTTACAAATTAAAAGAATTGTGAACTAAAAGAGGTTCAGCATCTCAACACTTATTGAGCAGTGCTGAAAGATTGCCAATTGTTTTCACACCAGCCATATCCAGATTTGAACATGTCTGAATAACTGGGAGTATTGAAATCTTTGCCCATGAAGGGTCCAAGCTTCATTTCTCTATCTCAAGGTAAACTACATCATCATGAATCCTGACTAACCCACGCTATTTTAGATATCAAAGTAAAATATAGCTTTTTATATGCAACGTATTTGTAAGAAAAAAAAATAAATTTCTTACTATCTACAGCAGCAACCCCTCCAGGTAGAATTCTCTTTATGAAAATCCCATAATCTTCTGCTGTTTGTGCCCGATAACCTCCAATAATTTTAACTCCTGCAAAACAAACAAAAGAAACAAGCAAGAAGTTGGTTATTCCACCTACTGTGCTAAATGGATTTACAGTGAAATCCATAAAAGCCAGATAAATTACACTTTTACTGATGACAGTGTGAACTGGAAAAGCTTACCAAGTGCTTTTAGATTTGGTTTACTCTGAACCAACAGAATGTGCAATCTAATTACCTAATCCATTTTGACAATCAGAAAAAGAAATGCGGTGAACAGCTCGATTGATTCCATGTGGGCCCATAATAGTCCTAAGGAATAAAATAAAAGTCATTAACTCCCTAATTAAAGAAATGTATGTAGAGATATGTTAATATAGAAGAAATTACAGTGACCACGTTTTTAACTCTAATACAAACCAAAACCAGCTTTCTATAACTGACAACTTTATGTTGTTTGAGACCTCTATGCCACCTCTTCCCCCCGATGAAAAAAATCAATCTCCTCATACAAATATAAGATGGTAAGGTAAAATAAAGTATACATAGAATTAAGTACAAGGAAAATCCCATAATCTGGTCCAGCTTAGCATTTAGGCAAGAAAAAACACATCATACCGTCTTAGATCAGGTAACGAATATTAAATCCAAACCACAGCTAAGGCACTGTATACAAAAATATTTTCTAGGATATCTAACATACAACTTCGTGGTTATTTACGAACACAATCTTTTCACTACAGTCTCTCATTACTTCACTTAATATTGTTTTCTCTCTCTGTTTTAAAAAAGGCTTCTTTTCAAACTCCAGTGCTTGCTCCCCCATGTACCCGCCCACCGGCAGACAAGATACCAGGATGGCACTTGACATTTTCTAAAGGCAGATGAATATTTTGGATGCAGTTGACAATGGCAAAGAATTAAGGAAGAATACAAAGTAAAATTAGTTTTGAAACCTAAATTTACATTTCCCTTGGAAACATGACCAGCATACTGCTCTGAGAATGGAAAGTGTTAAGAATTCCTATAAATCCAAATACCCTTAACCATTTTTTATTTACCATTATAAAAAAAATTAAAAACATCCAAGTTGTATCACAGCTCCTTTGTCCTCCCACTGTACCATTTTTGGAGAAGACTCACCAGATCCCTTCTAGAAAAAAGCAGAAGCACCACTTAGGTTTTTCTGCTTTGACCTACATATTGTTCTGTATTAGACAGTGAGTTGCATTTTCTAGAGCATGATGTTAAAGTGAAATGGAACAACTAGAATTCATTAGCAGAGGGTACAAGAAGATCAAAGTGGAGGACATAGTGACCCAAATCCTCCCACGCAACCAAATCCAGCACACAGCCTGAACTCCACGCCAGAAACTGGGTATTTCTGCAAAAGCCGGAGTACATGTCATTAAAAGGTGCCACGCCAGAGGGAAGAGAGAAATCCAGAAGGTTCAAATGTTCCTAAATTCTAGTGCCAGGCAAGAGATCCAACTCCTAAAGAATATCCTTAGTTCTTTTGGTTTTGTACAAGAAAACTGGATGAGGTTTTTTATCAAGGGATAAGCACTTGCTCTGAAAAGCAACAATTTGTTCCACAACCTCAAATTCCCAAGTATTTGCAAAATTAGCCTTCGCTTTAGAAAGGCTGGCCATAAGAACAGACCTAGTAATTCATCTTTAGAAACAAACAGGAAGCCTATGCTTCAAACGTTGTATAATTTTCATTTTAGTGTTTCTTGCAGTATGCGTTTCATAGGCTAAAAAGAAATGATGAAGCCTCATGAGTGTATTTGGCCACTGACAAGACTGCACGTGACAGAGCATTAGGCACCCTTTGTAAGGCTAAAAGTGAACCAAACTGCTTTTACTTAATCACAGCCTGAAAGGAAGAATAAATCCTTAAGTCTGCTATTTGTCTAACAAAACTGTTTTGATAAGCTACTTCTGCACTGCAACAGCACAGTATTTTGCATTACTACCTAGTACTGTCACTTCCATCACCCCATGAATTTAAATTGTTTGGAAGCTGAAAGACAAGATACTAGTCATGTTCTTTACAGGTCTGTCCTGATTTGTATCCATCTTTGAAAACTTAAACAAGGTACACTGATCCTTAAAGTAAGTAGACAATGATTCTATTTTTTTCTCTTTCCTTTTGCTACTACTGTTCTGCTTCTTGCTCTGCCATGCTCTCAGCAGTTTTCACATAGCAGTTTTTTATTAAAATAAAAAACAAGAACAAATGTTATTTCAGCCTTGCACAAAAGTTTACTTTTGTGAAGTATTAAAAGATCAAATAGACTTTAGACTTAAAGTTCAGATTTCAGAGAACCTATTAATGTACCACCATACAAAATGATCATGAAATATGATCAAATTTAGGCACAGAACACTTACCAGGAAAGGATCTACATTTCTAGAAGTTACAGGCAATACTTCCAAAAGAGCGATCCTAACTAACATAAAATGGATTTTGATAAGGAGGATACAGAGAATATACAAACTAATAATTCACCACAGGAAGGAATAAGATATCTCTGAAACAGTGACTAATTGTCATGATGTTGCCACCACAATTAGAAGGAACCAACACACTGAACAGACACCTTCACAAGGCATTCAGTTGCATTCATGCTCTAAAGGCTAAATCCCTCCAATACGTGCGGTTTAAAATTACTTTGTCACATAAAAGCAAAGACCAGGATCTTCAAATGCCCCAAATTTGTTTAGCATAGCACATCTTGCTGACTTTTGGTGTTAGTTTTTCTCTCATGTAACTTACAGATGGATCTTCAAGTCAAGCTACTTATCATAGTTCTAATAAAATAAACAGGGCTTTAACAGTTTCACTATAAAAAAGACTTGGATTTAGCACCCATCCAACATTTATTTCATGTTATCATTATTTAATATTCATGAAACATCAGAATACTTCCCCCAAAATATTAGACATATATTCAACAGTGTAAATAAGGAAATAGGCTTCTAAACCAATTGGCAGTATTAACAAAAAATAATTTCAATGTTCTTTCTAGAAAAAGATGCAAATAAATAATCAGACATTGCTGCTCATTGCTCGAGAAGTCATGCAAGAATACTTGAAAGGAAGCTGTTAGCACACAGAGAGGAAGAGATGTGAAGCACCAGATGAAACAAAGAAGCAAGGCTCTATAAAACGTTCACTCTAACTTTATTACACTAAAAAACATAAACTCTATCTCCAACTGAAGTCCCGGACTGCTAATAGACTAAGTACATATAATTTTGTGTAGATGTTCTAGTAAAGGCAATTAAAATGAAATTTTTTATCCTTTTTTTCTATTACTGTTTAGCAGCATACACAAGGCAGTTGAACGGTTTTGTGTTTTGTATCTTCTGGAGACTTATCAGAACATACAGTCCAGATATTCTTGTGATCTGTACTCCTGAGAAATTATTAGTCATTTATGTGCAAAAACAAAACATTTATTTAGCTTTATCAATGGAAGAGTAATACCCTTCCCTCACAAAATAGGTATTACCTGACACTTAAACAAAAATCTAAATTATAAACTCTGCTCATGAAAAGAAGCGGAAAATGGCTACAGCTTTTAAATTATCTTTACTTTCCCCAGTTACAGACTAGAAAAACACTGTCAGAACCTAATGCTTAAGCATACCAGTATAAGAGAGAAAGACCATCAAAACGCTCTGGTTCATCTTCATCTCCTGGTGAGAGTAAGGACATTCTTCAGCACAGCAGCAACAACGACAAAGCAACCAAAATACAGAGGAGGGCTCCAATTCAGCTGGATAAAAGCTATGTGCACGGCGATTTCTGCTACGAACTAAAAAAAACCCAACCCAAACAGACAGAGCTCGAGACGAGTGTCTCTGCCTACTTAATCTTCTCTGAAACCCTCTGCGTCACAGGGACTAATTCACCTATCAAGGTAATGTTTACTTTTTCTCTGTTTGAAATGGCAATTTATAGCAACTTGGAAGCCTGATAAATGCAAAGGAGAGAAAATTTACTTCCATTTCCTACAACTGTGATTATGCAATCTATATCTAGCAGCCAAAGGCAAATGAGATAATTAAAATAAACTTATTTTCTCATGTTCTTCCAATAATTTACACGCTCCCCCCAAACAAGGTCAAAAGCAGTAACTTATGACCTTTCTAAAGCAATCTTCCTAGCAGACTGGATTATGTACATCCGCACACAAAAGGGAAAGCCAACAAAGCAGGCAGACTGAAAGCATTAACGAAACAAATGCCATTACGCTATTACTTTGCATTCTCAATCATGGTATTGACTTGTGTCATCCTTTAACTTGGTTTTTTGTCTTTCAATATCCAACAGTCAAAAGTTAACACAAAATTTGGGTTATATGTTTTTCTCTAGAAATGGAAGCCGACACATCTGGTTTTTTGTGAAAGCAAATAGAAGTGGTGAATTTCTATCATTACACTGAGAATAACCTAGTTGAAAAAGTAAACAATATACAGAGGTAAGACTCTCTTCTGATACAAGGCTTGGTCTTACAGAGAGATGCATGTATTCAGAAGTTTGGAATTTCTGACATCCGTTTGGTTAACTAAGATTTTCTTCCAGGCTTGCAGCAGAAGATGCACTCCTATTACTTCCCCTCTTTCTAAAAGATCTTAAAAAGATTACAGTTTAAAATGAAAACTAAATACTCCGTGCTCACTGAGGGCTTTGTTTAAGTAGAAAGGTGAATCCTCTCTAGCAGGGAGTAACGCTGTGATGAGACAGCATCTGTCAGCGTCTAGAGCTGCCCCGCAGGACAGCTTGGCTGTGCGAGGAATGCATATGCTTATCTCATGCACCTTTTTTTTTTTTTTTTAAAGTTGTAGTCACTGGTTTCATTAGCATGTAATTGTTTTGGGGAGAGGATCTTTTTGCTTATACGCAATGTGCTAGACAGCGTTCAAATATGCAGAGGTCAGACCCGAGAGCCTATGGAGCCTGCAGCCTGTCCTTCTGCCCCTGTCGTGTGTGCCAAGTGACCCACCGCAGATGAGGGAGCAGGTCAGTGATGGAAGCAGGAACATACAGCACCCTTCCCAGTTCCCGAAACGTGAAGAGCTCCACTGGCATCACGTGGATTGCTCACATCCATTCAGCGATGAGAGTTTGGCCATTTGTACTCTCTTCTCAATCAGTTTAAGTCTACTGGTGCTACTGGAGTTACAGTCCAATGAAAGAAAAGCCATTGATATTTTAAGCATCATATGAATTAGATTTGCTCCAGGCAAGGTTACAAAAGATAAAATACCAATAGCTGTTTCTGCAACAAAAT